AAACCCTTTTCATCGGGTTTATTATTCTACGAATTTTTTTTACAGTGTTCTGAGTGATGCCTATTGACGCTGAGTCATGTCGTTCCCATCGCGTTCGTAAACTGATATAAAACATGCCTGTATTCGTTTTTTATTTTTTCCACGACTTCCTCTTCTTCACAGACGCGTACCACTATTCAAATACTTAATAAATGGAAAAAATAACTGGTAAAGGTCGATGTATCACACGTGGCAAAGAAAAAAAATGCAGTTAGATGTGAAGGTTGTTTATAACTATTTTGTTATAATCATTTAACTGATCATCGATAGAGGGTTGGACAACTTTTCGATCGGTGACAAAAATGAATATTTCAAGCGGAATTGAATCGTTCAGGTCAAGAATGTCCTGTCTTAAAAGAGTAACTTAGACGAACGAAACAACACATGAAAAATGAAAATCCATAGAAAAAATGCAACTTTTCATAAGAAAAATGACTAATAAAAAAATGTTTGAATCATTTTTCTATGAGAAAAATACTTCAGCTGAAGTTTACTTATATATATACATTCTCAGCAGAAAAAACAAAATCCATAAAAGAAATGTGACTTTTTATAGGAAAAATGACTACTAAAAAAATGTTTGAATCATTTTTCTATGAGAAAAATACTTCAGCTGGATAGGTGGGTGTGGATATGAATGTGGGTTTGGGTGTGGGTGTAGGTGTGGATGTGGGTGTGGGTGTGAGTAAAGAGAAGAACTGTAACCATACCTACATCCACATCCTAGTAGTGATTGATGAGCTATACCAGGATAAATAACACAATGAATACCAAATTTAAAACAATTTCCGGTAAGAATATACTTGCTTCTTCGCCAAGCCAAATAACATCAATATTAGATTGTTCAGGTTGAGAATTGTTTGGTTCATCAATCGATTTATTTTCACGTTGATCTTTCAATTGAAGACCATCACATGTTGGGAGTATACTTAATGAAAAAAGATCAGGATCATGATGTAGTACGTAATTAACTTCATCTATATTATAACCAATTTCAGGTATTACTTTAGGTCCCGTTTTTTCATTGAATTAATGAACAATATCAAGCATTGCAAGATCAGATAATTCTATTTGTTTTGATGGTTTATGATTTAATACAGCTAATTTTATAATTATTGGTTTTAAGCGATAAATTGAATCACTGATTAATTGACTAACATGTTGTAATGTTGCTTCTATATTCATTGGAAAGGTATACTGAGAATCAGTACTATTTTATTGATCAATTAATATTTTAATACTTTATGACTAATAAGTGATTAACCAAATGCATCTGATGATAAATAACGAGATTTTTCTCCGTGATTTAGTGCAAAAAACTTTGAAAGAAATTGATTAATATGATTCAACTATGGGTGTGAGTATGTGCGTATTGAGAGAAGTGTCTTATCAACATTGGCACCCACACGCATACGCTCACATCGACACTCCACACCTAAACTAATCCCGATCATCCTATTTGCTAAATTAATTCGCAAGAAATACCTGCAACATATTTCAATATATATAGGCTACAAGAGCAAACATTTTTGTACAAAACCTACAGCCCGACAATAATTTCACAGTAATGTTAATGACACGGTGCAGAAATCTTTTACGGGGACCAGTTGGTCTCGTGCACATCACTAGAGTTAGGACCAGAATTCTGTACACTTAGAAATTTTGTTTCAATTTTTGTTCAAGAATAGTGAAATCATGTTTGAAAACCCAAAACAAAAATAGTTTCGACGCAGTTTATGCGTCGACATTTTTGCTGAACATCTTTGTTCATTTTAACCTTCTTGAGAATATTTCAAACGAGCCAAAAATAACAAGTCGTAACCAAAAATTTGCGCTATCTTTTAAATAAATGTTGTTTTCATTTTTGTTCAAGAGTGACGAGAGACTTTTTGAAAGACCAGAAAATTTATTTTCAATATTTAAGCCAACAAGTTTTTATTTACTCTATAAGTCCCTTTTCAAACATTTTAAAAATTGTCAGAATCGGTCATGTTGTAGAATGGACATTTCTCTACTAAACACACTATTGAACTAAGTTGTAATTTTTATTCATGTGAGACCAGAAGTATTTTTCCCAAAGCTTTTTTCAAAGTAAAACGGTTGCTGGTTTTGGTATGCGTGTGGCTGTAGCTGTGAATGTTGATCTTTGCATTATCCACATCAACGTGCATACACACCCACACTCCAGATTCTCAACGAATTATGAAGATTTTCTGAATAATAATAGATTGTATTTTCGTAATTGTTTTGCTAAAAATCAAATCTTATCTAATTTTTTGACCATTTTTTCTTACATGTATATTTCTTAACCTCAAATAATAACAAACCTCAGGGGCTTGGGTTAGCTTCAGTTCGCACACGCACACTCACATTCACACCATCAAGTGACTTTTCATGATATACAAGTTCTTCAGAATACTTTTTCATCATGTTATGTATGTATCCACTGTTGTTGTATGAATTAGCTATATTAGAATACTTTAGTGGTAGAATTTTTCGGTTGGTATCAAAGACTTTTCTTTAAAAAAAAAAGTGTTTTCGCATAATCTCCCAAGTCGATGTACAACAAACCAAAATTTTTGTCGAAACTAACCAAATCAGATTGATTTGAAGTTGATATGTCTCGATAAATTGTGATAGATATTAAGAATTTTCGAAAGAGTTAACGGTCAAATCGACTTTATATGTATCAATGACATCGTGAAAGTATTTTGAAAGAAGTTTTATTTTATCTAAACTTGTTTTTGCTGATATCACGTATTACAAAATATGTAATATAGATGATCATGACGTTAAAGTCAGTAACGAGTTTTGTTGACTTGAGCAGAACAAAAATGAAGAACAATGTAAAGATGAAAAGAAACGAACATGAGTCGACCCAAGTTGGAAGAGAAGATACATATTACATATAGATATATATGCAAGTCTATGATAACTCATCGGAAAGAAATTTAAGAATAGAAAGAAAAATAACATATAAGAATAAAATGTGTTACCATATCACGGCAAGTGAGAATAAATCAAACAATAAAACATTCAGCCATTAACTTTTTTTCGCCTTGCAATAGTCTCGTCTTTTGTTGTTTTTTTTTTGTTTTTAATTACAAACCATAACTATATAAATAAATATAGATAACAAATAAATATCATTTCAAAATACAATTGCCTTCTTGAATATTCGGTAAGTAGAAAACCATTGAGATTTTCAATATTTGTCGAATATTCACTTATTATAATATTTTAATTATACAATAGAATATTTGGTTTGTTTTAATATGTTTAACAATTATTTTCTTACTGAAAATTTTTGCTTCGTCATTCGTGAAGCTTTTTCTTACAATATATTGAAAGCAAAAAGAAATGTCAGAAGATAGTTTAATAAATCCCTATTATTTTAATGCAGTGCTTGTCAATGAGCTTCTAATAATCATTATTGAATATTTAAAAAAAAATATTTTTAATCGACAAAAATTTTCTACTAAAGAAAATATAGAAAAATGTAAGGAATGATTTATTGAAACTATCTAGAAAATATTCGTTTTAGATAATACAGAATATGATCTTTCTGAAAATAAAATCATTCAAAGAATTAGAAATTTAAAAGCAAATTTTTAAAAATCATCAATTAATATTTTAAATATTTTAGAATTTGTAGTGTCGAGAATTTATCAAAAACTTTTGTTTTGTATTCATACAATTGAAAATAATAGAAATAATTTTTGATGAAAAATAACGAGAAAATTTAAAAATTCATTCTATATTAGATTTTATGTTTGAAATTTTTAAACGAATTTCTTTAAATCTATTTGATTTTTTCAAACAAAGATAAATAAAAATTTTGAAATTTTTGAAGATAAATTACAATATACAATAGTTTAAAACCTGTCCGAGAAAATTATTATAGATACTCAAGATGAATATCTCGAATGTATAAAAATAATTTAAGTCTATTTTTGAAAATTATCGCCTAATTTCCAATCAATTTTTATGTTTCTATTTTTTATGAAAAGTTCGTACAGTTATTGAAGAATTTTCTAGAAATCGAAAAGATTTTTTCTAATGTAAACATCTTAAACAGATATTAGAATATGGAAAAAAGCGAAAATATAATATAGCTATGAGTACCATGACTGAAAAAAGTTTGTGTTATTATGCTTTTTATTGAAAGTTTTCTCAAAGTAGAAAATTCTTGAAAAGAATTTCATCAAATATTTCAATATCTTTTACTATATTGTTATGAACTACATCATATAGAAGACATTAATAAGAAATTAAAGGTAAATATTTATAATCAAATTTATCATCAAAATTTAATTTAAAAAAAGAATCAATGTGATGAAACGATTAAAATAGAATTCGAAATTATCGAACATGATTGTTTTACAGAGTGGGTACTTCTTTACAAAATATGATATTGAATTAAGTTGTAGGTTGTTTTGCACAAGTGAAGTTCTATGTATTTTGTCAGGAACTCCTCTTTGTGTAAAACATCTTTTGATCAAAAAGTAGATTTCTCATAACTGAGGGTGTAGGAAAAACGAAAATTGAAATGTCTGACCTAATGATTAAAAAAAAGAGCCAAATAGAATATTTTATAGGACAGATTTTGCTCTACGTGCTGATAGAGTAATAAAGATTCTAATTTTTAGTTACGAATCACAATAGTTAAAATACAAAAATGTGCAAAAAATTTCTCGTTCAAACTAACTTTTTAGGCCTTTCAAAGATTTTCTCATTACTTTCGCACAAAAAATGATATAAAATTTTTAAGCTCATATTCAGAAAGAACATAAAATTTTGATTCTAATCCATAGGTTTTGACTCATCTAAGATACTTTCGACTGGGTCAAAAATGAGCAAACATTTTATTCGAAAACTTTCAGTCTACCCATTATCTATATGAAGAGTCTTCCATCACTTCGATATAAATCTTTAATTGCTATTGAAGCTGTTGAACAATATTTACATGAATTTTTACTCAATTCTATTCGAGAAACTATTAAAAATAAAACAACGGATAATACATTAGCAATGAAAATTTTTTGTCTTATTGAGGTTCAAAGAATTTTGATTATAATAGAAAAAGATTTTTGAATATAAACAAGTTATTAGATTTTTGACTAGTCAACATATTAAAATACCATTAGAAGCCATGAGTTCTCTGCATATACAACTCGACAACAGTACACATAGTCATTTTGTATATTTACAAATTAAAATTGATAATTTAACTAAAATGTTACGTCGATTTTTCAATTAAAAAAAAAAGTTTTATCTGAATTCAGTGTAATTATATCGACTATGTTAAAATAATAGATTTGATCATTTATTTGAATAAAAAGTTTTTTCTACTAATAGCTAAATTAGAAAAGAAATTTTTAATTGTCTTAAACCACATAAAAATTTTGATGCTATTAAAGAAATTATTTGATATTATACGAAAGTGTGAAAATTTTCTACAAAATAATGATAACAAAGGCTAATATTGAAATTAATCAATGCTTACGACAGTATATCATTGATATAATAGAAGAATATATATCGAGTTTATTAGCTTTTTGTCATAATACTGTGGTAGTTTTTAATCATTTTAAAACAAATTTTTATTAACTTATTAAGCAATTAAAAATATACAATTGAGACTTTCAATAGCTCAGTAATGAGATAAATTATTGAAACCCTGTGATTATTCGAACGAAAGCTATCATGATTATTCAAATATATATATATATATTAGAATTGACATGAGAACTTTAGTTGAGATTAGAATGCGCAAAATAATTTTAAAAAAAAACAAAAGAATAGAAAATAAATAAAAGCTTTTTGAATTGTTACAACTTTTCCTTCGACTAAAAGGATAGAGTCTAGAAACGGGAATTCATCTGTGTGGGTGTGATCCTATCTTGGTCTTTGTCCACATCCATCTCTTTCATGTCCTATTTCGAATAAAATAGTGTGATATATTTTAATCTTTAGTGCAAAACTTCATTATCCATTCATGAATTAAATTTTTTTGAGGCGTTCCTCCTTTTTTCGGCAGTTGCTGTAGTTCGTTACTGGAATTTCAGTATACATTAGGTATCTTCATGTTCTTCCGGCATGATTATCAGATCTAATTGACAATGTTGTTTCAATTAAATTGAAAAAAAAATGTCCTCATTGTTTATTTAAATCAGAATATGCTACTCTTTATAATTTAAAAGTATTTCCTAGAGTTTACATTGTATTTATTTAAGAGTGGTAATGAAGCGAAGAAATTCAATGATTCCCGGCACTTGGAATAGTTAAGATCGGTCTGAAATCCAAGGATTTCAAGGATTCCATCGCATTTTGTTCGATCTAGATGGGGTGTGGGTGTGGATGTGGATGTCAGTAGTTGAATCATTCGCGTCCACAAACACCCACTCTCACACACCGCCATCCACACTCACACCCACACCCACACCCACATACACACCCGCACACACCACACATCCACACACACCCCACACCCACACTCACACCTTCAATCAATCGATCCAGAAACATCTGAAAAATAAAGAGGAATAATCTTGAAACACTCTCAGTTTTTCCTATTTATTATTTCATATTCTCAAGGAGTGTCTTAACAAGCCGATCAAGATCACTCGTGTTAACTGAATTATATGAATCCGTATTTAGGTACCGCTTGATGCGCATTTGAGTAGCTAAGTTGTTTCGAAATGGAGAATTGATTATGTAAACGGGTACAGTGACATTCCATTCGCGTAACAACTGCATAGTACCTATTGCGCCAAGAGCATCGAATGGCACAAGTATCAAGCCAATCACATGTTGCATGATATCGAATGCGGTGAGCAGCGTTGGAATGTTGCCCCAAATGATGTCTCCGCCCAACTCGCTCACAATTATGTCTGGTTGCTGATCGTTAGCTTTTGTCAACAGCGTTCGAATTTCAATTATATATTTTTCCGGTGAAATGTATGTTGAAGGAAGTCCTACATCAGGAAAGTCGAGTGTAATTTCAGCACCCGCATCATGATGCTGCAGCGTATCTTCCAAACAGCCAGTACCCGATAGCTTTGTGCCCGCTACTTTTAGACCATGATCATACACTAACCGCTGAATGATATTAGCCGTAACTGTGGTCTTTCCTACATCGGTAGCCGTACCAGCAACTAACAGAATAGGTTTTGATTGACTTAATTTTCCACATACATAGCTTATTGAATCTTGTGTATTTATCGGAAGACCATTGCGCTTCAGTAGACCCAAGCAACGAAATACTGACGGTGGTCCCATATAGGTAATCCACCATCAGGTAAGCCGCCAACTAAATACTTGCTGGATTCGCGATTGCCCAGCACGGCAATAAACCGCTGTCGCTTGTAAACACGCATACCATAACCGTTTAAATCTTCCATCTCCTTATAAGCACCGGTATCGCTCATTGCTTCAACCAGCACAAGATCACCTTCCTGGCCAACCCCAGCTTCAATGCTAATGCTATCATCATCACCAGGTGATAGTCTAAATCGTGTGTCTGACGCAATACCTTGAATAGGTGCGAATGACTTAAGTGTGCGTTGTTGAGCCATTTTCTAAACGGTTTTTTGCTGATTGTATTTCCAAACAGTATACTTTCGTGATACTTCTTCGGTCGGTAGCACAATAATTTTGTGGTATACTTCGAATGTTAATATTTATATGCGTCTCTTGTCCCGCTATTTCTACAAAAGAATATGAGTAACATGTTGGAAATTTTCCCCGCTTTCTCTCCTTTTTCCAGTAGTAAACGTAGAGGGGCACTTATATTCATATATCGTAAGCAACCTCTCTCTTTCATACGACTACGAAAGGAAGTGACTTCGGCGCTGTTATCCTTAAAGTATCACTATTCTTTTAGAGAAAAAGTGGATAAAGGTGTCGATGCCCATCAGTAACTTTGTTCCTTTCTACTGGTAGAAACCAAGTTGAATTATGTGTTGAAAATCACGAAGGAGGGTGTGGGTATTGTCTTTCCTCAGATCTGCATCCACACCTTTGTTTACTTATTAAAATAATCATTGAAATAGTAGACAATATTAAGAATATGTATAGCGTGTTCGGGAAGTCATCTACCAAAAATTAAATTTCAATATTTTCACTATATTTTAACTAAATGAGCTAATCTTTTTTCCTGATGATGAAAAAGAATTTCAAGTTATTTTTATACATGAAAAGTTTTGTAACATTGGTCTTACTATGTAGCTAAAAGAGAAAATTTTACAGTTTTTGCTAAAGATAAAACGATAGATTTTTGATTTCTGTAATATATGCGAGTTTCTTATGCTATTAAATTGCTCAATTTGTTAAACATTTTATTTGCAATATTTGATTTTTCGCTTACAGCGAAATCTTTTCAACTACTTTCTTCTGATTTCAATGATTTTTCACCTATAAATATTACATAGTATTCTAATGATAACTCTAAAGGGATTTGAGTTTGACTAAGCTATTGAATATTTTTCTAGAAATTCCAGTTTTTCAGAACACTCGTATTTTCAAATTTTGATCTGAAACTTTGTGCATATAGGGAACTCGACTAGGCTGGCTTCTATAAAAAAATTTAGAAGTTTTGAACAAAATCTCGTCAAAATAGTAAGCTTTCAAAAAATGCATGTTATACGTGCTATCTATGGAAAAAGGAAAGTCTCATATCTCGAAGAGATTTTGTACAAAACTTCGGAATTCTTTTAACAAAAATTTTCTAGTTGAGTTCTCTGTATGCACAAAGTTTCCGATCAAAATTCTAAAATACGAGTTTTCCGAAAACCTAGGGCCTCTAGAAAAAAATTTTGATAGCTTAGTGAAACGTAAACTCTTTAGGGTTTTTATTAGAACACTATGCATTATCTATAGTCAAAAGATCATTGAAGTCGGCAAAGGTTGCCTCATTAGTTTATCTCACGAGTCACAGGAATTTGTACTTAATTATAAAAACACAAAGTCTATTTTGATCAACAAATACCGTCGCTTGAGTCAAATTATTGGAAAATATTGAATAGCTCACGAATTTTAGAATAATTTTACATTTTTCCAGTAATTTGATCCTAGCATCGTTATCTGTTGATGAAAATAGAAATAGTTTTTTTTACAAAAATGAACATCAAAACAAAGTTCTACAAAATGGACTATGCCAAAAAGTTTTTGGACGCATTTGTATGTTTTTTTTTGGTAGACTGCTGATGGAAGTAATCAGAAAAAAAAACGGTCAAGTTCTATATTAATACAGACCGTGCTAGTGCTTTTTTTTCTGTTTGGTGGATGATGCTCGCTAGAGTCTATTGGGTTCAAAATTTTCAGACTCGGTCGAGTTGTAATTTAAAGCTCTTAATGAGAAATAATTGCTCCGAAGATACAAGATTTTTTTTCTTCGATTTTTTGTATTCGATGACTAGCGCACCCTACACAGTTCTTAGACGCCTAAAGCCTGTTGGTTCCAAAGTTTTCCTACCCGAACTCAACTTTACGAGCACTTTGTAATTTTAGAAATATTCGTTTAGTTTGAGTATGAATGTCATTTATGAAATTTTGTTTATATTATGAATAACTTAAAATAATTTTAATTTCTTAGATCGTTTTAAACTTATTTTCGTAAAGATTTGTACCATTTTTTCCAAGCGTGATTCATACTAAGGACTCAAGAGAAAAGAAAGAAAAAAAGAAACATACCGTATTTTGATGGTCGAGAAGAAAAATATATATTTTTTAATAACGCCTTGCAATAAAATAGCATATTTTGCACCAATTACAAAGGAAAGGAAAAAAGAAAAAAAATGCTTATCACATTTATTTAATAGCCAGACATAATATTCCTATTTTCCACATAAATACAAAAAACAACTCCATCTATCTCTCTCACAAAAATAGCAACATACAATCGATAAATAATCGAATTTGAGTAGAAATAAAAAAGCCTGATTCTTTTAAGCATGCAAGCCAATTTTATGTATATTTCTAAAGAAGTAATATCTAAATCTAATAGAAATATTCCATCTCTTGTTACATTACCTGTCGAACTTGTCTATTGTATTCTCGACAGTCTCGATATGTTAACAATACTCTTATCATTCCGCAATGTTTGTACAAGACTCAGTAACATTACGAATACTTATCATCGATATAAAGTAAGTTTCAGATTGGCTTTACAATTTGAAAATCATTTTCAATCTCCTTATTTATCAAGATGGAGATAATCAAAAGATAATTCATATTTTCTACAATTCAATGCTTTAAATCTTTATTTAATCTCTTATATAGACATTTACCATATTAGATCTTACTCATCATAAGCTCAATGAACAACAATTTCAATGTCTAGCCAATACCTTACGAAATAATAAAGTACGATAAGTATTCTATTCAAAAATATTATATTTATCTTTTTTGTTCTTTTTATATAGACATTAACAGAGATTCATCTTCGATGTAAGCAAATCGATAATCAAAAGACAAAAGATTTAACTGATGCATTAAAAACTGACACTGTAAGATTATTATATTTATTTCATTCTTATATTTATCATTCAATATTAGACACTCATAACATTAGTCCTTTCGAATAATGCAATAGGTACTGATGGTGTACAATATTTAGCTAATTTATTAAATAATAACAAAGTAAAACTAATTTTCTATTGATCAATCGAACATTTTATCTGTATGATTTAACATAGACACTAATGAAACTTGATCTTGGATGCAATAAAATTGGCTCTGAAGGTATACGATATATAGCTGATGTCTTACATAATAATCATGTAAGATAAATTTTCTTTTCTTCTATTTTATATCTACCTTTGAAATTCTTTCAGACATTGACCATTCTAAATCTTGAAATTAATAATATTGGTAATCAAGGTACACAATATCTAACAAATGCTTTAGAAAATAATACAGTATGAAAAGTTTGATTTATCAATTAAATATTTTTTTCTATTCATCGATATAGACACTTACGATACTGATGCTTTCTAATAACTGTATCGATCATGAAGGTGCACAATATCTTGCTAATATGCTTTGCAAAAACAAAGTGAAATAAAATTTCTATTTACTTATTTTTGTATTCATTCTAATTATTCTATATAGACATTATTAACATTGATCCTTTCTGATAATAGAATCGGTTCTCAAGGAGTAAAATATCTAGCTAATGCATTATGCAATAACAAAGTAATGAGATCAATTTTGTATTAATCAATCTTGTATCAATCTTTTTTTAAAGACACTTACCAAATTGCATCTACGATTGAATAGAATTAATTCTGATGGAGCACAATATCTCGCTGAGGTTTTATATAATAACAATGTGAGATAAATTTTGTAGTGAGAGTAGTCTAAATATTTTTGTTTATTCAATCTAGACATTAACAGAACTTTATCTTGGATGGAATGATGTTGGTAACGAAGGAGTAAAATATTTAGCAAATGCATTATATAATAATCATGTAAGATATGTTTTTTTTTTCTGTTGATTTATCTAATATTTTCCATAATCATTCTATACAGACACTTCATATTCTACATCTCGAATATAACAATATCGATTGTGTGGGAGCACAATATCTTGCTAATGCTTTACAGAAAAATAAAGTAAAATAAATATTCTATTGATTAATTTAATCATTTCATCTTTTTAGACATTAATACAACTTTATCTTGCATGTAATAAGATAAAAAATCAAGGTGCACAATATTTATTTAATATTTTGAAAAATAATCAAGTAAGTCTAATATTTTTAATGACTTATTCAATATTTATATTATTATCATCTTTTTCAAACAGACATTAACCATTATAAATATTCAATCAAACGAAATTGATTTCCATGATATTCAATATTTAACAGATACATTAGAAAAACAAAGAATTCAATTTTAATACAAATAACAAATAATGAAATATCATTACAATATTAAATTTTTGACAATGTTCAAAAAGAAAAATCAAATATATAATGAGACTACAAGAGAATTGATTATTACGATGTGATATGGCATAATATGTTGCCTATAATATAATTATATTTTATATTCGATTTATAATTCAAATGCACATTATATATTATTTTTATTCATTATGAACTTTTTTATTTTGCGTCTAACATGACATATTTTAATAGGACTTTCTCAATATTAAAAGCTCATATTTTCCAGAGAAGAAATACAATTTCCAGAATACTCAGATAATCCTACCTTCTTGAAAGCAGAACAAATTTTCTTTTTATGAATAAAATAAATTGAACAAAGAATTCTTAAATCTATAATTGATTTCATTAATAATAGCATGTATAGAGATATAAGCCAATTGGCTTAGTCGCCACTGCCAACGCTCCAGCCGTCGGAACATAAAAATTAATAGTAAATTTTTGAAAATAACCGTCATCGAAAACGTTTAGTTGCTGAATAATGTATCGGCTTACATATCTAAGCATGTATAAGGAGTGAAAATTGGAAGAATTTATAATAAAATTCATAGATCTAATTATAGAAAAAAAGTTTAATTGAATTATAAGACTTGTGCCTATGAACCTCTTTATCCTAGGTCTACTAAAATTAGTCAATAGAAACAAATTGGTCGATACAGTAATACAAAAAAAAAGAAACATCAATGCAGATGAATAAACTAAACCGAGACCAAAAAAAAACAAAAAACTCTTAGTACCTATCGAATTGATGAAAATTTACTATTATTCTTAAAAAGCACACTCCTTAATTCAATTTGTTCATATTGGGAAACTATGTTGAGTTTTATAAAGATCTTTGATTAAGAAAGAACTTTGATATTTGTCACTATCGCTTTCTTCTAAATAATCAACAGTATTAATAGTAATCTCCTAGAGAGTCATATGAATTAACAAAAAAAAAAGATGTCAGCAACTGTTCTCCGATGAATTATTATGTATACTAGCGATAATTAATCATTGCTAAGTCTCGATATGATAAAAAAAACAAAATCTATATTCGAATTTTACTTTGAACAAACAAAATTTGTACCATATAGAAATCTCAACATCTCTAATAACGTAGCATCAGGATGATTTGCAAGGACATACTTTTTTTTTGATATACATAAATTCACAAAATATCATGTAATTAGAAAAATTGAACTAAGATAAAAGTATTTTAATCATCGCATACATCTACGTCATTTGATATACACAGTCAAAACTAACATTCGATATAAAAATAAAACTAGCCAAAAGTTCATTATTATGTATTAAAGTTTGCTTGAAATGGTTGATTCAATAGTAATAAGTGAAGCATTACTGACTATCTCACTATAAAAAGAAACTGAAATTAGCTATTATAGTAATAAGATCTTCTATGGTACTACAAATTCAAATAATTTTTCTTTTCGTCAAGATGAAAGAACTGAAGCAATAATGTTAATTTTGTTTTTTTCCTGCCTCTTAAAAGTAAGAATGACTTTGGAAACTAGTAGATGTTCATTTTTGTTTTAAAACGTGCTTCTATAAAAATTAGAAGACTGATATTTTTTTTATTTAGCATTCAGTGGAAGGTTTTATTTAAAACGCTTTTGTTCTTTTATTATAAATTAGTAGAAATAGAGCACGACTTTTTTTAAAAAGACAAGGAAGTCTTGAATATCAACATTATATTACTATATAACTGGCTAGTATGTGAGAACAGTGACTTATTGAAATAGATCAATAAACATATAGACAACGGCAGTCACAATCTTTTGCTCGGCATAATTGTGCTAGTTTTGCTCGGCATAATTGTGCTAGTGGCGTAAGCAGAAGGATCGTGGATGGTAGAGCAGTACCTTGCGATCTTAGGAAATTCTCAGCCTCTATCGGTAAAAATCTTCCACTGTAAATTTGAATAGCTAAATTTTTTTCCTGCAAAAATTGAATTTTTCTTTTTTATTGAAATTTAGAGAAAAATTCTTATACACAATTAGTCTTGATGGTAAATACTTTTTTTTCTTGTCAATGATTATTAGCCATATCTGATGTTACATTTATTGGTATTTCTATTATCACGACATAATATTTATTGTTGAAATAACAACATCAAATATAGAGGAAGGTAAATACTATGAAAAGGATGTTTTTTTCTATTTATTGAATAAACTGCGACCATATTTAGTATTACCAAAACGTCGTTGTTGTTGAAATAGTGATGGATCATTAAGAAAATTTCTAAAATCACGTTCATTAAGACGTTCGTATTGTGTTTGTTCAATATCATTATTTGTATCATCCAATGATAATGGATAAGATTGAAAATATCTTCTAGACAAAAAATTATGAGGAATAGCTTGTTGTTGATCAATACGAATAATTAAAATTAATAATAAATAAATGAATATTGCTATATATTTCATTATATATTGTTGTATATTACTCGAATGTTGACAAAAACAAAGTTTATTTTAATAATCTATAAAAAAAAAAGTTAATTATTTTAAATGATTAATGAAAGAATAAACTTTCTTCTGTTATCAATATTTAAATATTTTTCCTACAGAAAAAAAAATTAAACATCATAGAGAAAGAATTTAACATTTACTTTATAATACTAATTAAAATTTAAATATCAAATTTATTTAGGATTCTCTCGTTGGTAACTGGACTTATCGTTGCGCGATCTTTTCTGGGTGTGTGTGTGTTTTACAACATTTGACGACATTGAAGATTTTATATTTATAAAAGCGGAAACTTTTTTTTTTATAGATAACTTTATTTTACTTACTTGAGGCAGTCAATAAACTCTATGAAGGTATTTCTCTATAAGTCATTTTGAAGACGAGAGAACATTCCTAATTGTTGAACACCCAGCGAATTCATAGTTTGTCTCTATATAGGATTCGGTGAGACTAGTAGAAGCCAAAAAAAAAGGATTCATGTCGGTGCCTTGCTCTTTCGAGGTTAGGATCATTTTACTGAATTTTCTGTCGTAGAGGCAAGTCAAAGATTGAATGGTATAGATTTGTGTTTATTAAATTATTCTGACAGTACGATTTCTTTTCGAGATAATCAATCATGAAAAGAGTGGGTGTTCTAATTTTTATCCAGACGTTATGAAATTTTCTTGATTGTTTTTTGATTGTTATATCGAGAAGAAATAGTATTATCAGAATAATTTAATAAATATGATATTTACACTTGGATAGGCGTGGCACTTTCATTTTCACAAAGAAAAAGAAAGAAAAGCTTTTGCTTTCTTTTCTTTCTAAGGAAAGGAAAGTTGCAACCTTTCATATTGTTAGAACTTGACAGTATCTATCTTATCGATCACAAGTAGAATAAAACAATCATTATAATAATAATAGATCTAATGAATCTTTGTAAGGTTTTCTCATTGTTTCTTACAGTAAGAAAAAAATATATTAAGCATCATCTTTGAGTTCAGACCTCGACTAAATGTTTGATGTTTATAAATAAGAGAAAAATTTTCTTTTCTTTTTGTCTCAAATGCTTTGTATAAATTTCATGTAAATTCAAAATAATTAACAAATTTTTTATAGTTTTAAACGAGATATTATATGTTCATACATGATATATATGCTATGTAATTAATCTAACTATCGTAATATCAAGAAAATAAATCTATAGAACGAGAAAATTACAACACATGGATAAGTTTGTACTGTCCTTTTCATAATAGAAAGTATGTCTGTAGAAGTTGAATAGCTCTGGAATGTAATCAGTTGGTGATCTGTGGTTTTCTAACATCTCCTTGTTGTAGAGACTCGGAGAAGTCCAAAAACACTTGTTTTGTTAATTTTTGTCTGTCGACTTTTGACATATCTGGAGAAAAAAACAAACATTACCACGAGATCCAGCATGCGAAATAACTTATGTTTTCTTGCAAATCGGAGTTTAAAAAAACGGCTTCTGAAGATTCCGACGCGTAAAATCCAGCACTCGAAAGGAAAAGCAAAAAACAATGCAGTTTGTGGAGCAGATCCTGCATTACAAGATAGATGAATTTGAGTAAGAATTAAAACTTTCTTGATTAGCAAGGCGGTTTTACGCACATCCTCTCAGGAAATCTTTAGAATCACCTTTCAAAAATTTTGAATTTCGCATAGATTGACATCCTCTGGTGTCCACTTCCGATTGGTGGAAACAAAAGGTCATCAACTGTTTACATTCCAGAGCTATGTAACTTCTTCCAACACACATTATATTTTGAAAAGGACAGTAATTACATCTGAATAACAAACGCCTATTCTTCTACCCAGGGTAAGATTTGAGAAAAAACAAAAAAATCTATTCGACCATTAATTCTCATTACATAAAACTACATAGTTTATCCCTATCGACATATATACCATTCAATCTATGAATAGTTGACTTGTCCCTAACATCGACAATTCAGTAAAATGATCGTAACTCTGAAAGGAACAAGATATAGGACGCGAATCTTTTTTTTTTGTTTCTACTAATGTCACTGAATTCTCCATATGAAAAGAAACGTGAATATCTCTTCAATCGTTCAACTGGTTGACATAAAGTTTTTATAGTTTCACTTCATATTTATTGAAATTTTATTTCATATAAATTCGTTTCTTAATAGATCACTTATAAATGCAATGCAAAAATGTGGGAAAAAAAAATCATATAAAATTTAGTTTGAAATGTTTTTGATCTTCTTGTGCATTTTTAGTTTTAACTTAACAAGATCTTTAACACATGTCATGAAATTATTATACAATCTTAAAAAAGTATTTCCTAGTGTAAGTCATATTAACTTCTACTTGATATTATATCGAAAACAAAGTTTTTATGAAACACGATTTAAAAGAAGTGTTGAAATATACGGGTGGAAATTTGAACTTTCTCCCCATCGAGACAGACACAATCACGAGATAAAATTTCACTGCGGGATTAATATGATAATTATCCTTTACTTTTCTTTCATATTCACTGCGATTAATATCTTTGATCGTCGACATCTATTAACAGTAGATTGAAATTCATAAACCGAAATATATATTGATTAATCTCTTTGTTTTTTTTTATAATACTAACATCTCTATCGTGTTTCATATTTTAATCCTGCAAGGATCGCACAAATAACTTTTTCTCCTCTCTATAATTTCCCTTGATAAAGAAACAAAATTGAAATTTTTTGTACACAATATTTATTATGTTCTGTTCTCTTTAGACTTATCGATCTATGCGTACAGAATTAATTTAGTAGAATATAATTAAGAAAGAATCGAATAAGATAAAATAAAATAAAATTGGAAAAGAAATGTGTATTTGATTTTTTGATTAGGATGAGCGATAACGTATATATGACTATCAATATTCTATGTGCTATTATTAAAAAAAATGGAAACTATTCGATCTTTTAATTAAAGAAAAGTTTTAGTAAAATATGATTTGATCCTACCTATGGGATGTTATTGAGTCTTATTCTGATTCATTTAACGCAATAAAACAAATACTTGCCAGAGTATAATTATAAAACTAATTTGACTCGAAGTATCAACCAAAGTTTCATGCAATTTCAGTTTTTCCAATTATTTATTTTCTATTATAATTATCAATAAAATGACACTCAAACTAGTATCGATAACCGTATTAAATAAAAAGAAGATGCATTCCTTGAGAAACAACGTTGGAATGTATGCTACAAAAAGTAAATCAATTATCTATATCAGAAATGAATACACCTTATTTTAACTATCGATCACTATATTACATATCTTACAGATTATTTATTTTGTATCATTTTCAAGTACAACAACTAAAGTTCTCAATAATGACAAAAAGAAATGTAGGATAATCTTAATTCAGTATTTTAATGGCACAGTCGTCACAGGAAATAAGTATAAAAAATTATGAACCTGTGGAGTTTCATCATCACCATCTTAATATATAATGGATACTATTAATAAAAAAAGATAGAAAGATGAAAAAGTATTTACTAACAAAAGTAATAGAAAGAAAAAAATAAGGGAGAATATGTCACAGACCAAACAAAAAAAAACAATTGTTTTTTTTATAAAAGCATTTTTGTTCTTTTACGTTGACTGAATTAATAAAATGCTATTTAGTTGTTCAAGGTTATTTCCGACAATCATCTCTGATTTGTATGCAAAGAGTGATAAGAATACTATACCATCTTGTTGATTTCTTCATTTATAAAGAACTTCAAATCTTCAGATCTAGACATGGAGGAGATCCTTTTTCGAGCTTTCCCGAAAACTGTTTGGCGAAAATTTGTGAAACTTTCAAAGAAGATAAATTTCAATGAGCAGAATAAAAATTGTCTTAGACGGCTAGTCTCAAAGTGCTTTGTCCTTGGACGAACAAGAGCTAAAAATCACCTACAATTCTTCCCATCACTAAAAGTTCGCACTACATTTTTCAAGGTTAAATAGAATGACATTCATCTTGTAAAATCTGAAAAGCTTTATAGACACAATCTCTCTAATAGAGAAAAGAAAACCTTCACTTACTCTAATTTGACTATTATTAATCGTACCGTATAAAAGAAAATGAGTTCAACTTTGTGAAATTTTGATTTCTGAGAAATATACACATAGAAAATTACGCTCTTTGTCTTTTTTTTAGCATAAAATGGAAGTTTCTGTATGCTTTGAAATCTCAACGTGTTCTCATTCGAGTTGACACGATTTACTGTTCGTTGATTATTTTTTCAAATTTAATTGCTTTTTATTTCACTGGAAAAATTAATTTTTGCTACTAAGAATTTACAGTCTATTACTTGCATAACAATATACTCTAATTAGTCATTTTCTTGTATGATGGTTTACTTTACATTAGTTATTTGAATGAAAAGAAATGAACAAACGAATAACTAAAATAGTTTAGGAGTTCGTTAGGATAATTGTCGTCCACATGCCCTCATCTCCATTCTACGTACTAATCCTTAAACATCACACCATGCACTTTGTCCTCATTTCTCTTTGTCAAAATAATCAACGAAAAGGAAATCACGTACTCATCTAATTATATAGAGAGCTTTTAAATCTACATAGTGAACATAGAAAAGAACAACGAAAAGTTTTCAATCGAGAAAAAGGAATATTGTTTGAAATGATTCTTTAACTCATGTAGATTTGAGATTTTCTAAAAATCAAAAAATCTTCTGAAACATCTTATTTTAATAAATGTTACCATTCTTAATATATTCATCTTACACCCATCCTTATATTTTTTTGTGATGACAACATATATTATTCTATGAAAGAAAAAGCACTGCGAGATATATACAGCCGAGCATAATTGAAATTATACCCTTTGATTTTTTTTCATTTTTTATTACTAAATGTTTTTTATCTACCAATCTACTATATATAGGAAGAAAGCCCGAACGCGCTAAATCTTTTGATCTACTTACATT